TGTAATATTGAAATCAGCTAAAATATTGTAGTCTCTCGACAGATCTATCTTATAGGCATTATCATTCAGAATTCGAAGTATTTTGAAAGGTCTGTTTGCTTTGAGCTTGAGTTTTCGGAATGCTCTACTTGGAATCTCTCTTTCTTCATCCAGATCCACACTAGGTCTCCTTCTTTGAAGGCGACCTTTTTCCTTGTTTTGTTCGCCTATGCTTGGTACTTGCAATTCTGCTTAATGATTTCTTTTTCGACTTTCTCGTAGAGTTTTTGAATCTCATGCTCCCGTTCCTCTGCATCCTTACTAATCTTTAGCGTTGGCAGGAGCGTGCAATTCTGCTTAATGATTTCTTTTTCGACTTTCTTGAATCTCGTGCTCCCGTTCCTCTGCATCCTAACTAATCTTTAGCGTTGGCAGGAGCGATATCAATTCCAGTATAGTGAGCGGCTTGCGCCCGTACACGACCTCAAATGAGGTGCGACATGTCTGACTTACGGATTTATTGTACACTAACTTGGTCTGAGCGAGAATCAAATGTCACTGCTTGATATTTTTCCCAACGAAGCATCTTAGTAGATTTCCAAGGCTCCTATTTATTAATTGTTCGACTATCCGTTTGAGGGTGCACTGTAGAACTGAATTGAAGTTTAGTGCTTAATTTTCCCCACGTCTTTCAGAAGTGACTTAGAAATTTGACCTTCCTGTCTGAGGTGATGTTCCTAGGTATCCCGTGTTGTTTCACAATTTTTCATAAATATAAGTCGCTGACATGTGGGGCATCTAGTGTTCGGTGGCATGGTACGAAATGGGTCGTCTTTGAAAATCAATCTACCACGATCATGATTGAATCCTTATTCTATTGTGTCATCAGAAGTCTTATCACAAAGTCCATGCTAACGTCCACCTACGATACCTATGGTACTGGTAATGGAGTATATGACCCTGCTTTCTGCCCCTGATTTTTGCCAAATGACAAATCCTGCATTGTTTGAAGTGTCATTCTACATCCCTTATTAATCGAGGTCAAAGAAGCGCTCTATCACGATTGCGAGAAACTTATCCCTGCTAAAATGCCTAGCAAGTCCTCCACTGTGGTTTTCCTAAACAATAGACTCCCTTAGCAAGCATCTAGGAATGCGCAACTTACTTCGGCAGAACATATATCTATCCATTATGTAGTACTGTTCGATAGACTTCTCTTGACACTGCTCCCAATTTTTTTCGAAATCCTCATCTTTCTCATAAAACTCTTTTACTACCTTAAAACATACGCCTCAAGCTTGCATCACAGTGATCAATAAGTGACGACAACTCAGTGTGTTTGCTACCCGATTCTGACTCTTCGCCTTGTGCTTAAGCATGAATTCGAATTATGCCAAGAACTCTACTCGTTGTTTGTCGGCGCTTCAGTTTGCTCTGGATGTTTAAGAATTTCAAAGCCTCTTGGTCTGTGATGGTCTGTGAACAACATAAACTGATTTGTCTGCAAGTCATAGTTCCAGTGCTCAAGAGCTCTTACAATAACACAAAGTTTTGTGTTGTATGTTAAGTTTTTCCTCTTGGATTCATTTAGCTTCTCGCTGAAAAAGCGATGAGGTGTCTTCCATGGCTCACTGATTCTATGTTCACATCGATGCTTCATACTTTACTTCAAACAACTGATTGAAGTCTGATAATGCTGATAATGCCAAGCCTTTACTTCAAACAACTGATTGAAGTCTGATAATGCCAAGACTGGTGCGTGGGTCACCTTCTCCTTAAGTGCATTGTAGCTATTTTGAGCTGACTCTGTCCAATGCAATTTTTCTTCATTTAAAAGATCTTTTAGAGGGGCGGTGATGGTATTGAAAGTTGTCTTAGCTCGTTGAATCATTGTGATGCGGTCCAGCTCACAATGGCCTCGATCTTTGTAGGTAAGGTCCATCTGAATGCCTGCAATGGTCACAATATAACTCAAAAGACATACCTGTTCTGTCATGAATTGACATTTTTTTTGGATGGGCAATATAGATTCTCTGCTTTCAATACTTCAAATACCGCCCTCAGGTGCTGCAAGTGCTCATCCTCAGATCAACTGTATAGCAGAATGTCGTTAAAGTAGATTACTACAAATTTCTAAATGTGGGTCCGAAATACTTAATTCATCGACCTCATAAAAGTGATGGGCGTATTTGACAATCTGAGGGCATAACTGTTCACTCGTGTAAACCGTCTTGTGCCTTGAAAGCGGTTTTCCACTCGTCTCCTGTTCCATTCGGATCTGATGATACCAACTGCATAAGTCAATCTTGGGAAAGATGGTGGTCTTGTTCAACTTATCCCCTGTTCTACCCTGCCAACTTCGCTAGAGGTATCTTTGTCTGTCGCGGTAGCTATAGGTGACTGTCTAACTGAAGACTGCTGCTTGAATGAAGACTGTTGTCTACTCTGTTTTTGTTGTCTTTCCTCATTCCAGTCTAAGGTTTGAACATTTCCTCATTCCTCATTTCAAGCCCCCTAGGTACCGGGCTATGGTGTATTACTTTGGCTCGACCAACTTACATTTCATCTGCAACTGGTCAAATTGTGTTGTGAACTCCACTGAAAGGTCTCTCTATTACAAGTGGTGGAGTTTCAAAAGCATATTATGATAGTAATGCGATGAAATGTATTTTCAATGCACCACTTTTCTCATCTTTTCCCACTCTATAATCTTATGGCTGTCTTCTTTTTTCTTGTCTCTACAAATTTTCCTACCACAAAGAGACGCTATTTTTCAATTTGATAGACACTAGTTTTACCCTCTTATCCTCCGAAACCTCCTTATATTTGAAGATTCGCTCAACGAATTGTAGCCAATCTGTAAAGTCATTTGAGTCGTTTGGATCCATACCTCCAAACTCTGGAACATCCACTTTGATGTTGTAGGATCCATACCTCCAAACTCTGGAACATCCACTTTGTCTGTTGTCAATGTGTCTCTATGTCCTCCATATGTGGGATTGTTTCTCGGCCTCCTCTGATATTGAATCTCGAAGCCCTGGGTCAGTTTTATTCATCATTGACATTTTCTCTATGGATCGGATTTAGACCTTCGTCCCTATCTCTCCGTTAGCTCTCCAGATTATGGTCGAGAATAATCTCCCCCTAGGTTTCATCATCAATCTCCACAAGTCACTGTTGCAGCCGATCTCTTTGTGTATTTCATCTTGGATTTGTTCTAGCATGTATCTTCGGGTTGGCATGATTACGGTTTGGGTTTGGAAGGGGTGGTTAAAGGTAAGAAAGGAAAAAAATTTGAAGTGGTAAGGTTGATTTTAAGAAACCCTATGATAGGATTAGGATTGGACTAGCTCTGATACTAAATGATAATAAAAATTAAACCAAACCTCAAATCAGAAACAAATAGTATTACTCAAAACAAAGCGGATTATAATTCTGAAATAAAAAAGAACTAGAAAACACAATTAACATTAATATCTAGCTAGGGTCGGGTAGGAAGATCCAGGGATGGTGGTGGTGTGGGCGCGGTGGTCGAGGGTTGAGGTGAGATGGGGTAAGGGTTCAATGGCTGGAAGTAGGCGGGAATATGTATGGTGCCTGGTGGTTGGGACACGGAACGACTAAGGTTAAGAGTTGTACAGCAGGATCTGGAAAGTAGGGAGAGGTGGTTGGCGCCTGTGAGTAAGTAGGAGGGGCGTAGAGTGGCTGGGGGCTGGAACAGGGGATGAGGGGCTAGGGAAGCTGGCCACTGGGTCGGGAAACTGGGGGAAGAAGGGTCGTGACTGGGTCAGGAAGTAGGGGAATAGGGCTGGGTGTTGGGTTAGGAAACAGGTGGTCGGCGACCAGGAATAAGGTGGTAGTGGAGCAAGTAAACACGTAGGAAGCAACCAGAGGACTACCTGTTCTCGAATACAACCCTAGTAAGGGCAGATGCCTATAGGCAGAAATCTGAAACTAAAGAAGAATAAACCCTAGACTCAGCAAACATATATATTAATAGTAGATAGATAGGCGAGAAAACAAAAGAGAGGGGGGTGATTCCTGCCTCATTGAAGGAGTTGGCAGGTCCAGCCTCTTGCTTGATTGAGTCCCCTTTCCCTGTTGAACCTCTGCACGGTTCAGCCAAACCAACCCCCTGTGATAGCAAGTCTTCTATTATCCTCATGAAAAGTGTGCTCGATGTTTTTTCAATATCTTTCTAGCAATAAATGATAAGTATC